AGGCACGAAGATCCCGCTGTCGAGGAGACGGGTGAACAGGACGGTGGTCGGCATTCAGAAAGGGTCATACCTGCCGACTTCTACCCTACCGGTCTCACTCAGTTGCAGAGTGAGTTGGAGGGGAAATATACGGTTCAAAACATTAGCTCGATTTTCCTACGCCATCGCCGTAGATCTCAACTGCTTGGACAGCGCCACCACGCCCGACGACGGTGCACCTGCGCGATGTCTCCTCGCCAATCGCAATCTTGTTGCCCGTGAGTATCGAGGAGCCCGTGATTTCTCGTTCTACCCACTGGCCTTTCATCCTGCCTATGGTAATTTCTCCTCTCCGCGACCTCCCGCATTTCTCGACAACAACGTCCTCGCGGTGATGAAGGACAACATGAGCTATCTCAATGGCGGCGCCGACCCGCTGCGCTACGGCTACTTCCAAGCGTACTCGAACATCAAGCGTAGTATTCGTCATGGGCCGAATGATCTGCTCGCGACCAAGGGGATTGCGACCGCCGCTTTGACCCTTCCTGAAACGGCGCAGTAAACCGATCGCATACCCCACTGCCTTGGTGTGTGCTTCTGCGCGTGCCGATGCAATGCAGAGAACTTGGTAAGCATTCCTCCTTACTCGATAGGCAGCGAAGCCCTTGAGGTTTGCCAACCCAACAACACAATTACAACACGTGGAATAATATCTTACTCTGGTGCAGTTTTTACAACATTCAAGAGAGTAGTTAGTTGCTGCGTTATAAGCCATGCAGAGTCGAACCTGATTCATTCCCTCTAATTTGTTAGAAACCACTACCTGACCGAATCCTGGGGTAAGCGAGCGGAGGTACTGTTGCCACCCTTTAGTTGTCAGGGACCAATATGGGCGAGGGGAGAACTTGGTTATTTCCTTTTCGATGTTCGCGTATGGTTTCCAATCAGGTCGCTCAATGAGGCCATCTTGCTTGTCGTGATCAAGGCCGTACGCCAGGAGATCACGCATAATCACCGAAGTTTGATCGGGAAAGCGGTGAGCAAATATAGTAGCGTAATACTCCCTCGCATCCGGGAAACGGTTCTGTTCGTGTCGCAAGGCATTCCGAGTAGCGGTATAATTCCAACTTCGCTCGGCACACTCTGCCCTCGCTTCCATCCACGCGTTAAGTGTGGCATCTGTCGGGAATTTGGCCGATGAAGCCTTCCTTAATGATATCTTTTGGTCGACTGTGGTGATTTCGATAGGCGCATTCACCAAGGTAAGCCTTAGGCGAGGCCCTTCTTCGGCGGCTTGTGCCTGGATCAGTCTGCGGGCCTCGTCCGAAATGGCTCCAAATCCCATGATCATTCGGAGAGGCTTGTCGCGAGAAGTGTTCCGATCATCGAGTATATGAGAAAGGTCTCTTACGGCAGCGGCTGCCTGTGAGCCGGTGGATGCAGCATCGTCAAGGTAGACGACTGTGTTGCAGCTGTTGTCTTGGTCATGTGAAACGAGCGGAAATAAGTCTTGAACAAGGCTCCAAACCCACAGAGGGGATAGACCTGTCCCCTTCGAAGCAGCTGGCCGAATCATGCAGTACGAGTCCTCTCCCAGCAACGCGGTAATCTGCCGAGCTGTCTGTCGAATTGCGCCTTCAAACTCGGTCTTCGTGATAAAGTCGTACAAGGATATTATAAAGCGTAGAGCTTCTTCTCTATCAATTTGCTGTTCCTGGATAGTATTTGGACCATGCTACGACGTGGTGTCAGCATAAGCAATAATATAGCTCGTTTCACTTACCTTGTTCTCATCAAGCTGTCTGCGTTGCTCTAGACAGGACCGGACAAATTGGTTGACCTGATCGGTGGATGGCTACCCGCGTTTCTATGTCAAGTGATTCCGTGCTTGGTGGATGCGAGAGAAGCGAAGTTACTTTCTGAAGGCGATCTCCAGCTCTTTGCAAGAGTCGCATGAACGATTTGTAAGGAAGCATGATGTGGATAATAAAAAGTTGAACAAGAAAACGGTAATTGAGGCTGCCACGATCTTCACCCGCACATTCGATTATGGAAATAGCACGTGATTACTTCTGATTGATTCGCGAGACTTTTGTTAGGATGCCACCAAACTGGAATAAGTTATCCTGCGAAACGTTAGTTACATAGCGAAGCAGGATTTCGATTCAATAATTAACAGCTTTTTTGACCAGCAAGCCGCGATGCTGATTGGTTCGGATTCTCGATGCTGATTGGCTGAATTAAGTACAAGGATTGGATGGAAGGACTCGTAGCCAGGGGGTAATTCCAGTCCGCAGGAAAGTAACGACGGGAAGGTAGTTTGGTCGGCGTTTCAGTTGGAAGAAAAATGAATTTTTGAGGGGGATTTGTTTCAAGTCTTGGGTCTCGTACTACAATAGGATGTGAAGAGTGAAGAGGAAGAGGAAGAGGAAGGGGATGGACCGAGACCGCAAGCGTTGAACAGTCATGTCTATAAACTCCACTGTAGCTGCCACACACTCCACCCTAGTCTTTCGACGGCGTTCCGGCTGTTTCCAGCGACGAAGCTATTTTTAGCCACGGCAGTAATTTTGCTACTGAGGACCACCGAATGAATACTTGTTTAGTACTCCGTACTATACCGGTATTGTATCTCACAGCCTCTCTCAATACCTATCGAACTTGCATTACACAAAGATATAGCATTGTCGGCGATCTAAGCCCTGCAAAACATGACTTGCCGATCGTCCAGGGTCCATTAAACCTCACGAAAGGGTTTTCAGATGGACTAATAGGGCCAAAGCTGCCCAGCGCGATTTGGCGGGGTAAGATCAGCCGCTAATGCAGGCCGTCCGCCTGCCGAACAGAGCTGAAGTCCGGTTGGGTCCAGCAGTGAGGGTCCAAATAAACGATCCGCATTGGAAACACGATCAATTATAATGTCGTTGAGCTTTCGCAGCTGTAAATTACTCTACCAAGGGATTTTTCTGTTCGCGGTCGTTTTCGTTGTAGGACGGGTGACGTTACCATGTTCATGGGCATCTCTACGAGGTTTGAGCATCGCATTTCGATAATTTGTGGTTGATCATGCTGTAGTGTTGATTCGGCAGGATGTGAGCAAGGTTGTCTCATCCTGTGACTTTTGGGTACGACGTGATAGACAACCCCGAAGAGTACGAGCAGTACAAAGACATCCTCTGGTTTTGGCATTCTCAATATGGCGGGTATTACGCTGAATTCCGGTATCAACTCATTGAATGGAGGGGGTTCCGGGAATATCGGGATCGAAAGCGGAGATATTACGTCCCACGAAATCGGCTTCAAGAGTACGAAACCCTCATTCGGGAAAGTCAAGCAGACGCAGGATGCAAATGGGA